GGTGTGTGTGTGTGTATGTGTGTATGTGTGTGCGCGCGCGCAGTCATCAGACTTGCACTGCGGGCGCCTTTACCAGCAGAGCCGTCTTGTCAGACCCTTATTAATTATTCTTTTGCATTTCATTAACTTCTTCATTTTACGGCATGAATGTTGGCCTGTGTGCTTGCCTGTGCACCACGTATATGACTGGTGCCCACAGGAGCGTGGGGGTTACAGACAGTGGTCAGCGTGGGGCCTGGGAATCGAACCCAGGTCTCTGGAAGAGCAGCCTCTTAGCCATGAGCCCCGCTCCAGCCCTCCCTATTGTTTCTTTGTGACGGGTTTTACTGTGCGGTCCACAGTGGTGGTCTGGCCTCTAGTCCTCCAGCCTCTGCCTTCCGAGTGCCGGGTCACAGCACGTACTGCCACACCTGCCTAACATGAGTCTTCGCATGTCTGCCCCTTAGCTATCTCTCAGATCACAGGTATCAGCCCGTTCCTACAGCCTTCACCGTATTTCAGCCTCGTTTATATTCAGATTACGTCCTCTGACTTTTTTTTTCTTTGAGACAGGGTCTCCTTATGTAGCCCTCCCTGTCCTGGAACTCAGCTCTCAGAGACCCTCCTGTCTCTGCCTCCAGAGTGCTTCGATAAAAGGTGTGCGCCACCACACCTAGTTCCTTTCTTCCTTCTTTTTTTGAGACTGCTGTTGTGGAACTTTGTAGACTAGACTGGCCTAGAACTCCGACATCTGTCTGTCTCTGCCTCCTGAGGCCTGGAATTAAAGGCATGAGCCACCACACCCGGCAGGTCCCTTCATTTTTGTACTACAAACAGCCTACCTGTGGACTAGCTAGTAATTCAGAACAATGTGTCCTGAGAACAGAACGAAACCTGAAGTTACCTGGTGCTGTCTCTCACTCTGTGTCTGCGTCATTTCTGTTACTAAGTGACTGTGAAGAAGGCCAGGTACCCTGGGCAGAGAAGTCACAGGCCCTGGAAACACTTCCAGTAACGTGAGCTGTCAGTGGGAAGGCAGGCTGGCATGCTCTGGACTGTGCATTTAGTTTTGGGTCCTACTATGCGGCATGCGAGTCCAGCTCTCAGGCTCTGGAGGCCGAGTGGAGAACAAAGAGGCTGAGAAGTCTCAGCCTGCATGGGACTCACAGTGGGTGACGTCATCATTCTATATTGATCAGGCCCCCACTGTCTACCGAGTGCAGACCTCACGCATCAACTCGTTCTGGAGAGACTCTGCCCCCTTTCACAGGTCTGGAACAAGCTCTGAAGTCTGGTCACCTGCTCACATTCATGGTTCTGGGAAAGAGACTGGCAGTCGTGACTCTAGATGGAGCCTTGGCTGCCTCCCTCCCCCTTCCAGCCGGTCTCCACCGGAAACACCTTCTCAGCCCCAGTCTTCCTCCTGCCCTCCCGGCTCCCCTCCCGGCTCCCCTCCCGGCTCCCCTGACTCCCCAGAACAGCTCCCTGGCATAAGGAGGAAAGTTCTTGGACCCTCCAAGAGGTATGCTAAGACCGAGGCTAACCTCTGACACATGGCTACTTTCAGAGATGCATGCCACACATGGGCAGTCAAAACCTTCATGGGTAGCAAACACTTGGGCATCAAAGAAAGAAGGTATGTGGGGAGATACAGAGAAAGGAGAGTGGGTAGGAACATATTTCACTGTCTATGTGTATGAAATTCTTAAACATCATTTTTGGTTTTTTGTTGTTGTTTTGTTTTTTTGAGACAGGGTTTCTCTGTGAGGCCCTGGCTGCCCTAGAACTAGTTCTGTAGACCAGGCTGGCTTTGAAAGCACAGAGACCCACCCCCCTCAGCCGCCCAGTGCGCCACCATACCCGGCGCAAAGATGATCTTTAAAGACAGCGAACCTGGCAGGCAGGCAGCAGGCAGGCAGGCAGGCGGGCGGCAGTCCCCGCCTCTGCCTGGCGCGGCCCGGCTCACCTGCAGCACGCGGCTCATCCACTGGAAGCTGTCTTCCTCGGAGGCGTCAGGCCTTTGCTCCGCTACCACCACGATGCGCTCGTCATAAAACACAGACACAGAAAACACAGCAATTCTAAGAGAGACAGATCAGACACGTCAGTCGCCCTCCAGAACCGTCCTATCTGCTTCTCTGAGGTGGAATCAGAGGAGCCGTCCCGACACACCACCCGGACACGAGCAGTGGAGAGAAATGAGGTCGTCACCAAACCAGCGCCGAGCGGTTCCCTTACAACAAGAGGAAAACAGCGTGGATTAAGCACCACAGAGTGTGACAAGACACAGTCCCTGTCTTTGTGGCGCTTACGTGTCCGAGACGTAAGCACCAATCAACACACAGATAGCGAAGCCATGTTGTGATGCACCAGGAAGCACCTGGGCAGCAGAGTGGGGTGCCCAGCGGAGTGGGATATGGGTGCTTGGGGGAGCGCCTCCCTGGGGAGCGGACACTGGAGCAGAGACCTGAATGAGGTGAGGACGCGAGCCACGCGAAGATCTGGAGGAAGAGGATTCCGGGCAGAAGGAACGGAAAGCGGAAAGGTTCTGAGGTAGGGACGAGCTTGGCAGGTTTGAGGAACAGCGAGAAGGCCAGTGTGCCTGGAGCGGAGTAGTGAAGCAGAGAGCGGAGCGACGGTCAGCCACAGGCAAGGGGGGCCCAGGGAGACCGGGGCTGGGGGGCGGGGGGGTTAGACCCAGGGAGACCGGGGCTGGGGGGGGGGTAGACCCAGGGAGGTCTCCGCTCAAATGTCCCCTTACTAGTGAGGCGTCCCCGAGCACCTCTGTGCTCACGCCACAGCGCTCACGGCCCTGTCACGTGACATGTATGCTGCCATCTGCCTGGCTCCTGGGTTTGTCAGGAGACTGTGGGCACACACCCAGAAACGCAGCGTGCAGTTGGCACCCAGTGAGGATTTGCTGCAGAGTGCAGGGAGGATGGGAAGAGACTGGAGAGCCAAGGAGGCCGGCTTAGCGGCCCGAGTCCCTTCCCTCCACCCGCAGCAGGGGTGGGGCACGAACTATGTATGTGCCAGGACACAACTGTGACCACAGACAGCGGTCCAGGGCCCAGCAAGTTCATTCCTGAGAGCCACACTTACAGAAACCCTTACAGCTCAGGCACTGGTTCTTTTCTGATGTCTTCAAACGTTCTTACTTCTTATGTAGTAACTCAGTCAGGGTAGGAGGAATAAGGAGGCACGTGCTCCAAGCACACCATACATGTGTACATGTGTATGAAAATGTTTTTGTGTAAAAACAAAACAAAAATAACCCTAACCGATACCTGTCTGAGACTGTGAACTCCTGGAATAACTCTTCTTGCATTAGTAAGCAAAAGAAAAGGCCTGACTCTGTCCACAGCACCTGGAATTCTCCACACTAAACTGACATGTCAATCTCGAGTTAGAAACGAGAGGAAGAATTCTTCGGTCTGTACAGATGGCACCTAGCTACACTAGCCTGGACAGCACCGTCTCGGCACTGAAGAACTACGAACATGCAGTGTTTTGTCTTCCATTCTCCTCAGTCTTCAGAACTCAACAAGGAGTAAAGACTCTGACACCCGCCTCATTCCTCTCCGTCACGCAAAGAGCCAAAGACGGTGGGACACACACTTAAAGCCAGGCTTCTATTATTTTAACCCAAGCCAACCTAATAATTTGGAAAAGCACCCACAGAATGCGGTTCCGATCGCCCCAAAGCGGTGACATTAATCCACAGCACTCACCGTCCTCGATAGACAGTCTTGATGGACTCCACAGCCAGGCCAGTAGCCACAATGTCATCAGCGTTATGTCTCCGACCACTAACCATGAGCAATCCATCCATCTTTCCAACCACGAACACCAAGCTACCCTGAAAGTTAACAAGGATTTATTTACCTTCATTTCCATGGTTTAAAGGGTAAGACAGATACTTTATATTTCCTACTTTGAAGTAAATCTCATAAAAAAAAAAAAAAAAAGCTAAGAAAAATACCTGTAAGGCATGCACCCAGTTCAATCCCCAACACTGTGTGTGTTTATATCAAAGAAATGCATATCATAGTTTATGGATTTATTTTTATTTTAGTTCAGTTTTGGTTTTTTTCACGACAGGGTTTTTTTTTCTGTGTGCATCCCTGGCCGTACTGGAACTCAGTCTGTAGACCAGGCTGGCCTCGAACTCACAGAGATCCACCTGCCTCTGCCTCCCGAGTGCTAGGATTAAAGGCCTGCGCCACCACCGCCCCCACTCGAATTTTTTTTTTTTTTCAAAAAATCCCTCTGGAATTAGTGAGAAACTAGTACCTAGAGCCAAGGAGGTCTTTCAGAAAATCACATTAGGTATCTTGCAAGGGTGTATGTGTGGGTGAGCACAGGCATGCTGCTGCATGCTTGTGACGGGGAGGACAGCCTGAAGGAGCCAATTCTCTCCTCCATGTGTGTCCTAGGGACTGAACTCAGGTCGTTAGGTTTGGCTGACCACTAACCAGCACCCTCTGAGGTCTTACAGTCTGTAAGGAGATGGATTCATTCACATTCTTAGGGGAAAATTTCAAAGGGAAAAGACTGTGACCACACACGGTTAGTTTGTTTACTACTGAACTAGAGGGAAGTCAAACAGCTTTAATCTAATGTGAATAGTTGCCTGGAGCATGTAAGGGTAACACTGTTTCCATTAGGCAGGAGCAGAGACAGGTAACAGGAACAAGTCTAAGAAGGCTGGAGATCTTCTCCCCAGGACAAGCAGCACAGGAAGGTCCCAGTGCGTCCCCCCTTACTCCCTGCGGTAAGTCAGGGCCCCCTTCTGGCCCGCTCACCACACTCAATGAGCCAGTGGCGCTCTCCATGTGAATGTCACTCATTAAGTTTCTGAGCACGGTGTAGGGCCAGCACAGTGCCTGGGCTAAGACAAAGGCAGAACCCCTGCATAGGAAGCTATTGGTTCACACACAATGCCAGGGGAGCCGGCCATTTCCAAGTGGTAAGAGCTGTGTGAGTCAGAGAAGAAGGGCTGCAGATGTGGCTCAGTGGTTAGGGGAGGCACTGGTCTTCCAGAGGACCTGAGTGTGGCTTGCAGCACCCATGTCACGGGCTCCCAACTGCTGTATGCAAGGATACACACATTGCTAATGAAAACATAAAAAAGTCATCAAAACAGTCTTAAAGACAAATAGAGATGCCTGCTTCTCCAAATCTTTCACAGTGAGGCTGTTCAGCTGGCATGGCCTTTCTGGCTTCATCTTTCTTACAGCTAGGTCTGACCATGGGACTAGTTCAGACCAGACATAACCTAGTCTCCCTACAGAGCAGGACCACAGTCTGTCCGTTTCCGAGACCGCTGAAGCTCCATCCAGACCCCAACAGCAGAGCAGCAGGCAGAGGCGTTGGGCACCTGAGACCTTCTCTGGTGCTGTCAAGAGGTCAAGAGAGCCAAGGCCACACTTGGTGTGTGCGGTTTCTAAGAGGGCGACTCCCCACTGCACCCAAACCCCAGAGGTGGGAAGGGGAAGCAGGAGAGGGGGGAGGAGGAAGCTAGTGATCGGTAAGTTTACAGGTGAGTGCCACCCATCACTGCGCACGGCCTGGCCCTCTGCCATCCTCATGGATTCCTGAAGCCCACCATGAGCTCTTTGAGAATAGGCTTTTCGGGTCCTAGTCATCTCTAGACCCAGTACCTGTAAATACCATTTGCTAAGTAACAAGTTCTCTCTCTCTCTCTCTCTCTCTCTCTCTCTCTCTCTCTCTCTCTCTCTCTCTCTCTC